AGAAATGAAGGTATGGGGGCCACCAACACGAATGATCTGTGACAACAGTTTTCCCGGAAAAAAGTATCAAACAGAACAGTTCTGGGTACATTAGTGGTGGCAGCAAGTAGTTGGAAGGTATGGGGAACGCTTTCCGGGAAAACTGTTGTCACAGATCATTCGTGTTGGTGGCCCCCATACCTTCATTTCTACTCCAGCCTGCTTTGCTACGCCAAAACCCATTAATTATTGACGGACCTACAATACCCACCCAACTGTTCGAAAAAAAAACACGAAGAAAACGCGGATTTGCGTCTTTTCCATCTTCTATTTTACTAGGTTAGTTTCTATTTTTTTCTCATATAATGTTAACTTTGAGCAATTTATCAGAAGAAGCACTACAACATCAATACAGATTTGAATTTGTTCCAGTTATGAATGGGTAGAGATTGCACTGACGTCAGTAAACCACGGATAACAACACTGATTCGGCCTAATCTGCTCGCATTGGTCGTACTGTATCTTCTAAGATCGTGCTTATGATGTGTGGTTTTCGATTTCTTCCTTTTGCCATCTACAGACATTTTAAACATAAATCAGAACGGTGAGCTTTAACGAAAAACGTATTTGCATGTTATAACAGAGCGACGACAAACCCATAGCACATACAGTAGCTTCAATACTATTATGGCCACTTTGAGTTACTTAGCAAAGTAACTAGATACGTTATGTATCCCCTGTCGTTCCGTTGTTCTTCAACTTTCTCGGCCTGTCGCCAGTAGCGTCTCCATTTGATTCTGTCGGAACAGAGTAGTCCTATGTATCGTCATCGCTAAAGCGACACGAAGCATAGCGTTCTTTTCGTGTGGATCTTTCGTGCAGAAGACTTACCATCGCACTGGCAGCAGCCTTGGTGTTTGTTTAGCGTTTCAAAGAATCCATTCAGTAACTACCGTGAGCCAACGGTCATCGTGATATCGCATACCGTGTCCAGTCCACCTAATGTTCGATTAACTTGGCGTCAGCGACGAAATCCCTGACATCTTCCCATTGATGGGGCTCAGAATTCCAAACTACCTCCTGGACTTGCGTGTATAGAGAAATTATTGTCTCGTCTTTTCCAATGCGCGTTGAATGACGTTGGCAGCATGTTCATCCTGCTTTCGTAGAGTCCATGTCTCCAAGGCCCGTCGTACGCCAAAGCACGAAGAAGCAGTGTAGAAGAGGTGAGCGCGGATCCGATTGTTCGTTGTCTTCTTCTTAACTACCTCGATGCTATTGAATGCTATCCACACGGCGGGTTTCCTTCTAATCAGGCCCGGGCTAGGTCGAATTATGTTAGCTTTTTGACCTGGATACACACAGCTGGAGCACCCGAAGATAGCGGGTTAACCATAGCCCCGCTAAACGTTGGAGAAATATTCTAAATGGTAAGCGCCCAAAGTTCAGCTAACTAGGGGAGGTTTTGGAATGCAATAAGTACTTCACAATGATTTAATTTTATTAGGTCCTTGGACAAAGTTCGTATTACGTAACAAAACAAATCCGATAGACGAGTACTCAAAGATATTTTTCAACTTCCGACTTCGGATTATGCTTGATGAAGGAGATTTCACAGCTATAGGTCAAATAAACAGCATTGATATAAACAACACGAAGGCGTGGTGGTAGTAGCAGAATCTAGGATGGTGGCCAATTTTACAAATCCACCTGCATTGCATTTTTTGAACAATTTTCTGAATTCTGGTTGCTTTCAGAAGCAAATAGGGCTGTTCAAAGTATTCTAATAATGTTCAGATGATGCACATGTTGAATATTAAATATTGCAATAACTATTATGTTTATTTTGCTGACATATATGACATTTTTGGAAGGCTTTCATCAATGAAGCCAGTCGAGTTGGTCATGCAATCTTTTTGGCTCCAATGGTGATTGGTAGTGACTATGCATACAGTAAATATGTATACAGCTCATACATATTTACTTCCTTCAGGTGACTGTCCCCGCCTAAAACATCGTTTCTTATACCCAAGAAGTGGGGCAGCTTATATGTATATTAATCCCGCGGGCAGTATGACTAATTGTAAGAATCATGACAGTGAGGTTCTCCACATGAAACTTCATCAAACTCTTTATCATGATACATCCTTGAACCGTTAATATTCTGGGTGTTTCTCAACTACCATTTTCAGATAAGGCTTAATAAACTCACTAAGCTATAAATCGTATATTGACTTCAAAAACGTGGCGGCAACAGAAACGACAGAAATTGGTATGATAAACGGTCAAACTGGAAAGCGCTCGTGCATATCAATTTTTATACACCCTGCTCAATTTTGGTTGTTTTCGACTGGTCCGAAAGAGTTCGTGAAGATCTCAGTTCTCAAAATCACTTTATGTAAGAAATTGAATCTATTCCTCCCTTAAACATCATCAAAAACGAATTATCTTGCTTGTGAAACTGTCACCACGGAGGGTGTCGTAGACGACTCGATTCGGCGACGTCTGCAAAGGCGTAGCAATCCGTGCCGTATCTTTGCATTTTCCAGTGTGTAGATTGCCCATTTTGAGAGGTTTAGGTTAGCCGCAAACTTGATAACGAACTTATACCAGAATAGATGCCTGTGGAAAAAATGGCTTAAATAGTTTGAAGTGAACGCAAAGCAGAACTTACTAGCAACTAGGCGTGATCAGTTGTTTTTAAACTCTTGACTGCGGTTTTGCGTTTATATGTTATTTATATTTTCTGCCTGGAACCCTATTTCTCTGCTTACTCAAAAACAGATATACATAAAGTTTTTACGTAGAATGTCCTTTCTGTGATCACAAAACACATTTTTCGGGAGGATTAGATGGCCGCTGTTAATTGCAGGGAAGGAGACTTCTCTGTAATTAGCAAAAAGATTAACAGGGCAAAACAACATTAACAAAAAGAGGACAAGATTTGGTTCTAAACGTGAAACTTGGATAGGGTTTGGATTTTCTACGTTTTCCTTTGAAACTGCAACAAAGAATATCCCTGTGCTCACCTGAACCTCCTTTGCTGATCAGTCAGCATCGACTTTTAGCCATACACTTCCTTTAGATTTGACATGATTTTTTGTTATCTACTGTGCAGTCTCCCATGCGAAAGTCTCATAAGGTTGGCGAGTTGTGGACAAAACTTCGGCCACGGACTCGGTTGGCCAGTTGAGATCGGGACTCGAAATCGTTCTCGTGCAATCCGGGCACAAGCGCGGAAATGAGCCCCGATCTCAACTGGCCAACCTTATGAGACACCCAGTGTTTCTATACTTATGATACGGTCCTCTATCTCTTCCCCAACGACAACTAGCCATGGTAAGAT